AAAACCTGGCCACACAAACCCAATACAATGATACAGCAAAAAAGCATTTTCTTCCCCCCACCTCCTCGAGCTGCAGTCGCTACCAGCTGCCCATCACCTGCAGCTAGACACCCTGACTGGAAAGCTGAGGGGCAGAGGCAGAGTTACAGAGATGACAGGGCAACTGGCACTGCACAGAAACCAGGCACCATGGGAGGGCCAAGTCTGTTCAGTACTATCTCTGCCTTCATGGGCTTCTTTAATCTCTAAAAAAACCATCAGTGGGGTGCTGCAGAGGGAAGGGAGAAATGAAATACCAATTACATCGTGAGGAAAATCAGGCAAAAGACTACTGCCCATGATATGCTCAGAGGATGTGCCCGTGGCAAGTGACAGGGGCAACAGCAGAAAGGACAGTGAGCCGATGCTGCATTTACGACAGTGCAGTCCCTCGAGCAGGCAAGCGCTAATGGAGGTGGGAAGGGAGAAAGGTAACTGCCCGGCGAGCCTTGCTTGTAAAGGCACATGTGGACATTGTACTTACTATCCAGAGAGTGTTGAGTGGACAAGTTTGTGCCCCAGTGGGACACAAACTGAAAATCATAAAATTCCATCAAAACGTAAGAAAACACTTTTCTATTGTGCACGTGACCGAGCACAGGTTGCTCAGAGAGGTTGCACAGCCTCCATCCTTGGAGATACTGGATTGGAGACAGCCCTGAGCAAACTGCTTTAGCTGACCCTGCTTGAGTAGGGAGGCTGGACTAGACAATCCTGAAAGGTCCCTCAACCTCAGCCATTGTGTGATTCTGTGATTTGCTAGTACCTTTTTTTTTTTTCCCAGTTTCTTGTTCTGTTCAATCTCCCATTAAAAGAAGGCTCACAGTGAAATTCACCATTGTATCTATTAGTTTGGGAAAGGAGAAAAATTTGAGGCTATACCTGCATTTTGATCTAAAGTCCATTCCATGCAATACAGAGTCATCAGGTTTTGCAACAGCGTACTAATGATGAACAGGCCAATATTGCCATGGCTGCGTTCAGCTGTGCTTCTGAACAGAAGATTAGCTCAAGAATAGCACCCTCTGCTATTGCAAGACTGAAGCGATGTCCCAGCTCCTTCGCCATCAGCTTCTAAAACACCACATTTTACAACGTGGCTTTTGTTAAGGAAAACAATGGCAGTTTTCCTTAAATTGGTGTTTGTAAGCTGTGGCAGGAGCTGGTAAGAGGCTCTCGCTTCACGCAAGGTCCTGAGGCTGGGCTACTCATGTTAGTTGGAGCCTGCTTGTTCATCCTCTTTTATTAACTTTGAACCCACCGGCCCACTTCAATCAAATTAAACAAGCTGTGTCAGAATCAGCAGCTGGGCAGAGGCATAAAAGTTGCCTGTAGGACATAGAGACTTAAATATATGAGAAATCTATACACAGATGATTTCATACTGTCCCCCAGGGGCAAAATAGCCTTAATTCAGTTGTCTAAGCTTAGGTGCCTAATTTTAGACTCCCTGGCGTATCCTGCCTGGCCTTCAGTTGTTGCTCCAGAAGGACTCAGGTCTCCTGCACGTTCCCTGTCAGCCGCACGGGGAGATCTTCGTTACTCGAGGCCATCTCAAATGACAACAGATTGCTAGCTGTGGGAAACAGAATTGAGCCTACTGGCCTTATCTGCTTATTTCACAGTAGATTCATGGTCTGTTTATAGTTCAGATAGTACCAAAATAATGTCACCACTGAAGAGAAAAGGTCTCTCTCAGCTCCATGGTTGCTTGTTCTCTTCAGATGGGCAACCAGCCACCACTGCCTGGTCAATCAACAGAAGCATAGCTCAAAACCAAGCACAGCGTGTTATCGTCCCATATCTGGTGTTAATTAAGGAGCACAGCAGGGAGCTGGGCTGCTGGCAGGTAGATGCGTGGAAAAGGGATGGAGGCTGTAGGCACTGTCGAGGAAAATGATCTAGAGGAGAGTTGGTCTAATTGCAAAGGGTAAACTCACAAAAGAAATGCGGGAGAGAAGTAGGATTATAGTACTGGTGAGGCTGTAGAGTACAAATCCAACGGAAATAAGGCTTTATTAGTTCTGCTAGTCTTTTCTGGTTTGGGTGGGTTTGGTCGTTTTTTTTCTTTTCTTCCTGAAACACTCTGAAATGATGTTTTTTTAATGAAAATCTCTCTCAGATCCTTATCCTCAAGTGACTGATCAGCCTTAACAAGCAACCAGACTTGAACAGCTGAATAACTTAGCAACAATATAAAAACAGCCATCTGGGAAAAGTCTTGTCAACTCTTCAGAACCAATGCAGAGGTATTCTAGGCACGTATATGAGAGAGGTTAAGATGGGTTGGCTGATATTCTGCATTTTGACATAGAGATTGATGGCTGGTGTGAAGACTGAGTACACCAGTTTGCACTGTCATGGGGATCCATCAAACAAGAGAATTAGTGAAAATTTAAATTGCGATGGAGGAAAAAACATTTCCCCTTTCCCATGCTCCATTTTCTAGAACAAGCCTTCAATTTTACTAGAAGCAAATGTGATTTTTTTTTTTTTTTAATTGGGAAGGCTTATTTGGCATAACTTTTGCCAAAAAGAATCAGAGGAAAGCATAACTTTGTTATGAGGGAGGACTATTATCCTGCACTGTGGTTAAGCCTATATACAGTTTTTAAGGTAAACCGAACACATTTAATTCTTAGAAAGGAGAACTGGCAAATACATTCCTCATGGCAGCTTAACTCTTTTAGAATTTAACTATGTACGCTCATTGAAGGGTACTGTCAGACTGTACCAGAGATAATGAGCCAACTTAATCACCAGAATAGTTCCAGTATTCCCTCAAGTTTTGATATATAGCTTAACTGAGAACTGCATCAACTTGCACATCTGATGCAGACTCGCAGGGATTTGGATGAAAGCCACCTATAGGCAGCATTAGAACCTGGCAAGCTGGTTATCACTCTTGGTAATATGTCTTTAATCCATGGGAGGAAGCTAGTCAAGGTTTTAGTTACAGAGGGCCAAGTCTTGGGGTTACATAAATTAACAGTTCCATTGAAGTTGAGAGAGTTATGCTGATTTAAAGAAGTTGAGGTTCCAGCCTAGAAAGTGAATGAGAAAGCAAAGCAGGGCAGGGAGTGACAATCATTTTTAAGGAACATTTCAACAACTTGCAGATTAGTCCTAGGCAGTACTTACATCCTGGTTGGACATCTCCCAGTATGGTCTCTCACCGTAGGACATCACCTCCCACATTACAATCCCATAGCTCCACGCGTCGCTTGCCGAAGAGAACTTCCGGTAAGCTATAGCTTCAGGAGCAGTCCACCTTATGGGGATTTTTCCGCCCTGGAAAATAGGTTGAAAACTTGTCAGTATGACTAGAATACAGAATAGCACATGTTTAAAAGAAAAGAAAAAAAAAATATGTATCCTGGATGCTGAGATTCTACGTTCTGTCTTCTGTCAATCTGCCTTGTCAATTTGCTGCAAGTGGAAAGGAAGAAATACACCTTTTCAGAATTTGATAAAAATTTGGTTTCATTTATAGTCTAATTCACCAAAACCAGCACTTTGTGAAAACAAAACTCAGTTCAAAGAACAGAGAGCATTTTAGATAATGCATGTTTGCTCAGTCATATAACTCATCAGAACGTGCCTTTTGACTGAAAACATCCCAAGCCTGAAATTCCTAGTACCTTGACATTTGAACTCGTTTTCCTTAAATGAAACAAAAACATCTCTTGCAAAATGGAACACTGAAAGCACTTAATAAAATTCTATAATCAGAAAGGAAACTATAGGCTTTCTATTCTTTACTTTTGATAATCTCTTCTAATTTTTGTTATGCCCTTTAAAGATCCAGGTAAATAGGAAACCAAGTGTGTTTCTAATAGCTGTTTCCTTAGGATGTTGAATAATTTCATTCTGCAGCTTTCAACTTAAAATCCAAGTGCTACCTCAAAAAAAAACAAAATTCAATCAACAAACCTGACTTATTCTTTACAAGACCGCAGGATGCAGAACTTTTCTCTGACATTAGTAATTTAAACCGTTGAATCTCTTCTATTCTCCCATAAATAGTTTATGCATGAAAACGACTTTTCTGTTCCAGAACAAAGTATTTCTTCTCCAGATAAATTCTTCGTTTCAGAAGTATACATTTATTACCATTCTCCATTTAACTCTTTACAGAAGTAGAGAGTGAGCGAGCTGTATGCTTAAGGTGCCACTAGATGGTAGAAGGAGGCAGGCAATAGAGCTGAGCTCACTTAGCAGAAGTTGCTTTCAACAAGCGGTAACAGATTCTGCTCAGCCTTATAATTGTATTCCTGACAGCAACAAAAGAAGAAATTAACCAGAACATCCGTTTGGCAATTGAAGAGAAGCCACAGTTAAAAACAAGTATGTAAATCTTGGTTAATTTGCTTTGAATATACAAAAAATGGTCTGTGAGTTGTTGAGGCCTGACTTCAACTGACGGAGAAGATGCTTGTTCTACCAAAAAAGCGTTCAAAAGCAAAGCTCTGCATCTGTGGTGATGCGCAAGCTAACTTCTCATCACTGAGTCTCACTTGATGATGAAAAATGTACGGTTAACATTTATGTTGTATGATAGTTATGATAGTACCCGAGATGTCCTTTGGATGATGTTGCATTTTTTGCAGCTTCTTATTTAATGCCTTTGCTTACTCAGTTGAAGTTGAAGTCAGTGGCAAACCACTGACTGACTGGAGCAAAGGTAAAGGTAAAGGTAATACTTTATTTTGTATTTTTGCCCAAGCACCTCCCCTACTCCCTTTTCTTAACCCAGTAACTCGATGGTCAAATCACTCCTCTGGCACATCAGAGATGTAAAGGGCTTTCCGTCCCACCTGCTGCCACCTCTGAGCCTGCCCTAGCCAGCACTGCGGGGGCTGACGCTCTTGGTCCCTTCCTGGTACAGCTGTTCCACTTGGGAAGCAATTACAAATACTTTTGGGGGTGAGAATAAAGAAACAGGGTGACAAAAGAGATTGGTGATAAGACATTCTCCAAGGAAAGACCAGCCTAAGTTCTTGTCTCTTCGCCAGGAAATAGCTAAACCTTCTAAACACACTGGGTAAGGGCATTTGGTGCTTGATCTCACGGTCTGGTTGGAATGGTGTTTCGGTGGGATATGTGAGTCCAGGCCTCCTGAGGCAGTGGGAGATTTAGATATTCAGTGCCCCAAATGTACACTACACCCTGGGGTGTCTAACCAAAAGGATGGATCCTCTGAGGAACAGACAGTTTTAGGGTCTAACTGCAGAATTCAAAAGATCTCCTCGCACTGCAGAGTTACGGGCCTTGTCCTTTTTACTGGATCAGGTTTAGTCCTTTATTGTTAAACATTTTATTGCCAAACGTATGTAATTTCATCCTTAGATCCCTGGCTTCTGCAGATTTTTGGGGACAATATTTTCCTGGCCTAAGTCACAAGGTCGTGGTAGGCATTTAACTCCTTCTTTGGACCTGGACACTTGTACTTTTTAAAAGGTAAACAACAGTCATGCTGATCCGTATCACAAGAGACGCTGCCCTGACAACCCTAAACGCCCTTCCTCATCATCAGCGTATCAGTCCTGGCTGACAAATGATGTAGAAGGCGAGACGCTTGTTCCAACACAAGAGTTCACTGTCTGAACCTTGTCTGACCAAGCAATCTCCCTTGATGCCTTTTCCTTTATGTCCACTCCAGATACTTTCTGAAGTGCTGCCCCACCATTTGAAGGAGGATGCAAAAGCAAAATTTCCGTATGATCTTTCCTTATCACAGATTTCAGGAGATTACAGGAAAAAAAAAGTCTACTAGTTTCAATGGTTGTATAAGACTTTGTTTATCAAGGGAAACTGATGAATCAACAAATTTACTATGAGTCAGATTTCTAATTTGGACAGTTTTATTAATAATCTATTATTTTTTGAATTTTCACAAAAAGTTTTATGTTAATAATTAAATATCTACATGTAGGAAAAACACAAATCTATACATGCAAATAAAAGGCATTTGGATATTTCTAGATTTTACTTTTAACGTCTAAGACGTAATACGGATAACATAATAGGAAAATTATTTTTTAAAGTGTTTCCTTTTCATAAATCTGATTATGTATTCCCAAATTATACTTAATAAAGAGGCCACATTGTGAGCAGCATTTACAGCTAGATTTGTGTCTACTGGCTAAATATAAATGAGTTTTAAAGAATCTGATTAGACTCTACAACTAGTTTCATGATAGAGCTTTACTGACCGATCCCTTTTGGACTGAAACAGTAGTGGCTCATTGACTGTGAAAGTGAGAATGGAGAATAGAGTCGTAACAAAATTCAAGGCAGTTCATGTTCAAGGGCATAAGATGTGTTCAGTGTTGTCACGTAAAAGAAAATTCTTTTGTGCTGGGTGTAATGGCAAAGTGAAGCAAAACCTCTAAAATTTTTACAACGGATTCAGCTTATGTATGAAAATGTTATATTCGTAAGAATGTAAATTTCAAGACTTAATTATGTTTGCAGAGTATCTTTTTATGCCAAAAAGTTGATTTATTTATTTGAAAGCCATTCAAAAGGCGGAGATTGCAATATGACTACCTTAAGAGACGTATATGACTGAACAGTAGTAATAACCGCTCACGCATAATAAAAGAAGACGTAAGGTTTAGAGTAGCTGAAAATATATTTCCTGTTTCTGATTAGAGTAATAAACAGTGTTACTGATATTGAACATGTCTTTTTACATTGTGATCTAACTGGGAAAATAATAAATGCGATATTGTTTATACAATTCCCCACCTCCAAATTGAGGTAATTTAGAAATCATCTACATTTGACTATTGTAGCAATGAAATCTATTGCAGCTCCCTCCATCAGGAAGCCCTTATGCAAGCCCATGTTGCTTTTAGATTATTCTGGCTCTTTTGGGGGGCAGGGGGAAGGGGCAGAAGGGGTGTTAAGACCCAAATTGTATTTCTGCCTCATCTCGAATGTTAATAATGATATCAGTGATAAGCTAATTTTATTTTCATAGTAAAAGAACACTAACACTGCTATTCAAATAATTTGAATTCAGCCTTTTTTTTTCCATATGCTTCCAGCTGAATAGTGTCTATCTCCTGATTTTTTTCTTGATTGTAATTTAATAGACATTTTTACCACGCAGTGGCAAGAGTCCCCTTGGAATTAGCATATCAGGCTCACATTGCTTAGCTTGTAGCACAATTTAGAGATCAGGCCTTGAAATGAAATTTACCCCCTCGCCCACCCACACCTACACACATGCTCGCTTTCCCTGCAGAGGTGGCAACAGCGCGGTTTGCCACAGATTTAAAGACAGAATTGGAACTACATGTTGCAGAATGCCTCATTCTTTACCTCAAGCTATGCGTGAGAGAGACGGTCTTCCCAAAATGCCGTCTCTTCTTTGAGCTAACAACAACAAAGTTCTTATGATCTGTTATTTGAAAAGACCCCGGCAACGCAACTGCCACTGACATTATATATGGTCCAACAGGCCAGAATTGCATTTTTGGCACCTCCCATCTGATTTTTTTTTTATTTTACATGTTAGACATCTTCTTAAAAACAAGAGGTGTTAACAGTTTCTTTAATTAAATATTTAAACACATTTTCAAACTCCAGGGGAACAACGTAACTGGCAGCTACGGCCCATTATTCTACAAGATGAAGGTCAGGATATATCAGCAAGCTGAAAATGCAGGATGGGAAAAATGACAAGAGAGGGCACAGAAGAAAAGAAGGAAGCCTGTTAGATGCCCAGAACTTTTGGCATGCCCTGCTAGCTAATTAAAGCCAGGAGTGATACCACTGAGAACCTTAGACATAATACTGAAGGTAAGATGTATGAGCTCCGACTGGATGTGCAAAGACAACGACACACGTAAGCAGCCAGAAGCAAACACAGCGCATCAAACTCACGATGTCCCAGAGCTAGCAGTGATGTGAAACAAGGCCTGTTTCGGTTGAAAAGCCTGTTCTCTATTCTCCTTGAATGACAAGGCACTGCAGAGACTGCAGTTTTACTAAATGCTGAGGTGCAAACCCATCAGTTCCAGACGCACAGACACCTAGAACTGTCTCTTTCTAGGACAAAAGGTACTGAACTATGCGCGCCATTAGTCTACCCTGGCACAGTAATTCCTATGCATCTGTCAGTTACTATTCCTTTATGTACGATGTTACTGAATCGTGCAGTAATTTTCTATGACACAAGTGTAGTACCTGTCTTTTTCTCCACTTCAAATGACAGAAATGGGGAAAAAAACCCAAAAACTTCAGAGTGAAGAAAGACAAAAGCAATGAGAGAGATTAGT